TTTTGTTGGAACCATGTAATAAGAATGCATTAAATAAATTACAGAAGATTCAATTTAAATGTCTGCGCATCATCACTGGTGCCATGAAATCCTCTCCTAATTTGGCATTACAAGTTGAATGCCTAGAGCCTCCCCTTCACCTTAGAAGACAGTATCTTGCTGATAGATATCTATTTAACATTTCTCAATACAGCATCACCCCCTTTTAAAAACCTTACATTCCTTGTCTCAATTAGCAAGTACTTCTGATTACTGGAAACATAAGGACTTGCCTCTGCTACTTAAGTCATATCGAAAAATTTGTAATCTTTCTAATCCTGTTTTCAAAATTTAAAAACACCCAATTTTTATGGTTGACTATATGTCATTAGTTTATAGGCCTAGGGTTATTCTGTCCTTGGGAATTGATAAAAACTCACCCTACCCACACATACAATTTAATAGGATTCTTGAAAATGAATTTAAAGGTTGGCTCACTCTATACACGGATGCCTCAAAATTGTCTGCAAACTTAGATGTAGGTGCTGCAGTCTGGATACCTAAGTATAAAATTATATTGAGCTTTAAATGCCCCTCTGTAACTTCTATTTTCAGTGGGGAAGCAATAGCTTTGCTAGAAGCTGTATCTTATATTAAATCTCATCATCTTAATAAATCTATAATTTTCTCCGATTCATACAGTTGCTTACAAGATATCTTAAAAGTTCCATTTCGCTCTAAGGAGAACTTTTTCATAACACTCGAAATTAAACAAGCATTATATAATTGCCATTGTGCTGGTATAGAAGTAGTTTTAGCATGGATCCCAAGTCACTGTGGTATTTCTGGAAATGAGCAAGCAGATTGTTGTGCCAAAGAAGCAATCCAGATGGGATGTTCCACCTATAATAAATGTTTTGTTCGTGATCTGCGGCTATCTTCGAAACAGGACATGATAAGAACTTAGAGTACTATGTGGCAATCAATTGGACATAGAAGGTGTAAATACTATGGCTTAATTCAACCATTTATCCCTACCAAACCTTGGTTCTTTAAATACTGCTGCTATAACAAAAATACCACATCTATTATCATCAGGTTAAGACTAGGACATGTGTGCTCTCCAGTGTTCTTGGCTAAACTTCATATTCGAAACACTTCCTTGTGTGAATGTGGGCTAGATGAGGGTACACTTGACCATTTATTTTTTAATTGTCCTTTGTTTACTATCTCTTTATATGATTTACTTCCATCCAATGTTGCTCGCCCTGTGAATGTTAAGTGTCTATTAACTCTTGTTTATACTCCATTTATTAAAACTCTAGTTAATAACAATCTAGAGATTAACAATATATGTCTTTAAGTTGTTGTCATGAATTTAAAAAAATAAATTATGTCCTGTTTTTATTTTTCATATATTTGAGTGTTGTCTTCCATTATTAATTTGCATGTTACTAACGTTGTGTTGATCCTTTGTTTACAGGTACACAAATGAAATAATCTTAAACAAAATAATATATATTTTCATTGTCCTAACCTTATCAAGTTGATCTCAAAGTTCTTAGTTATTGGCAAAATCACTGAAGTATCAGTGGAGCCATAGTAGGGAAAAAAAATCTAATAAATATATTATATTTCCTTTAAACTAAATAATCATAATATCGTAACAGATAATCCAAATTGCAACTCTTGTGAATTCACTCAGAGCACAACAACACTCTTCTTATGCCTCCGAGACACATACCCATCCGGTACCAGAAATCTGACTTGCTCTAACACAGCGCACCTCTTATTACTTTAAAAATGTACGTAACAAGTGCCAGTTCCTTCAACCAGAAACTTAGCTCATATTACCCTACCATGCCTAAAACAAATAATGTCAGATGTGTTAAGGGGTACAATGGGTATAAGCCCATTACTGCCATCTTTAGGTAGAGAAAACTAGCAAATTTTTTCTCCAACTTGAGTCTATACTTAGTCTCATGTGGAGGCCAAATGACTGCACTCCTTCCTAACGAACTGACTCCTAACTAACGAATCACACAGTGCGAACACAGCGTTCATGTGGGTAAAACCACTTACGGTATGAAGTAAGAAATCTAAATTTCATAAGCTTTCTTGCAGTATTTCACTATAAGGAAACGAAAGCTCCGTGTTTAAATTAACACCTAAATCCCTAACTTCGGCAACTAACCATTGGTACCCCGTCCATCTCATATTCGTAATGGATAGGGGAGTGCGCCTCAGAAAAGGTGATCACTGCACATTTTGAGTAGGTAAATTCCAAGTAGTTATCCTCGCTCCATTTGACTAGTCTGTCTATATCCTGTTGCACCCTCGCACAGTCACTCATGTCGCGTATATCCAAAGACAGCTTGAGGTCGTCCGCGAACAACAAACACTTAGCGTCCTTAACGTCTTGTGGCCAGTCGTTAATCATCTAAATTAACTGCAAGGGTCTTATTAGGTTACTGGCATGACTCACCCCAGACCTTGTGTAGCACGGTTCTGACCTATAACCCCCATATTCCACATATTGCTGCCTGTCACCCATGTAACTCGCAAAAAATTTAAGTAAATGCGGGAGTAAAACCAATCGCAGCCAACTTTCTTAGCAGAAAGTCATTTTCCACCAAACGGAAGGCTTTCCGGAAGTCGAAAGTATGCGGCATCAGCCTGCTTCCCACTGTCGACTGCTGGAAGAATCTGAGACGTACGTATAGCAGAAAAGGTTGCTTGTTGTGCTTCTCACTGGCCTGAACCTGTGTTGAGCGTCAGGGAGTTCCCAATATAATAATTAAGGGGCGTCCATAAATCCTTCCACATAAGATTCAGCTCAACTTCCGCCCCCAAACTCCTCAAGTAATCAATCGATGTTTAAGATGTAAAGGTGTATTTTAAATAAAACAACAGGTTTAATTTAATGTATATGTAATAAAATAAGTTTAATGTCTAATTTTAAAATAATGATCAGGTTAAACTTATTCCTATTGAAGCTATTTATAATAATTGAATTAGGTATTAGTTGTGTTTCCAGAAAAAGTAATGTACAATTTTTGTTACGATTTTAAAAATAAATAATTATATAAAACTTAATGTATATATATTGCACTTATCTTCTTATTTACTAAATTTATGCAACACTTGTTGCCGTAGTTTATTGATATTATAGTATTTGTTTGCATTTGGCAATCTTTTATTTAGCTGTTATTTTATTCATTCCATATATAATTAAGGTACCTTTTCGCAATGTTCAACATCACTACATAGTATCAAACAAAGTCGTCCAGCTGTCTGTCTGTCCCTATGTATGCTTAGATCTTTAAAACTACGCAACGGATCTTGATGCGATCCAGATAAAGTGATTCAAGAGGAAGGTGTATATGTATAACTGCTATAAATATATTAGTATTTATTTTTGTGGGAAGTTGACAAGCGAGTTGGCGGTTCACCTAATGCTAAGTGATATCCGCTGCCAATGGACATTTGCAACAACCGTAGGGTTGCAGATGCGTTGCCACCTTAAAATGGGCCCGGTTACCTCACTCACCAGGCGAAACACACAAATCTAAAACTTATACTTTTGCGGTGGTCTTCTGTGAGGTCGTGTTACTTCTCCGGACGGACCTGCCCATTCAAGCAACGACTGTTGCGTGGCCCTACCACAATATTATAAATGGCCATACCTAGAAACTTAACTAATAGTAAAATCCTTCAGTTATTAAATGTTCTCTCTCGGAATAAGTTAATTATTAGGAAAACCATACTGAGGTGATACTAGCTCTAAGGGGGCCTAAAAACTATTTTTTTTATTATTCATGAAAGTATTGAATTGAAAAAAAAAATTCTAATACAAAAACGTGAAAATTTCAATATCACTTCATTTTACTCTCATATTAGGTAAAAGTGCGTAAATTATGTTTATATATTTTAAAGGTATGGAATCCACATTGAAAATGAATTAATGTTTTTGCTTGTACCGATTGGTACTATTTCAAAAAGCATATTAATTAAATGTTATGAAGTGATTGTATATAAAGTAAGACTTGTATATGGTTCAATTATGCCGGGCGATTGAAGTATAGATCAAACTTGAAACTATTTTCTTTTCATGAAATTTTAACAAATTAAAAGCGACAATACTTATTCGTTATAATTAAAATACATCACTACACAACTTTAAATACTTGATTATTAATTATTTTAAAGTGGCAGGACTAGAAGGACCTTCCATTGAAATAAGGCAAGCCTCGTTGTAACCGTTATTATAAGAATAAAAAGCTCAAAATGCACATACATATATATTACACGGCCTAGGGCAATTGCAAAACAGATTCGATGTAATAAGTTACTACTTCTCAGGTAATAAGTTACTAGATTTGTTAAATATCCCTTTAAATAATACATACATTGTGTTAAAAATAATGAATATTTTGATAAATAAACGATAATTTTGTTTTCAGTACGTTGCAACAAATAATACCTATAGTTTGAAATGTTATTATGTCGTTATGTTGAAACGTTGACCATTCTAAGAAAATAGATATATGAGGATCTAACGTTGCTAAGTATTTACGTCGTGTCAAAAATTGTTTTTTATAATATAAATTAATAAATGATATTTTTATCGTATTTCATAAAGTATGCATGAATGGATACCTATGCTTTCTTATACAGTAATGGGTAAGTTACCAATGGATAATTGTAGCTAAAAGCCTGTTGCCGTTTTGAATAAGGATACCTAATCTAGTAAGACCAAACGATAAAGTAATATGAGCTTATGTTGCACTCTAGTCTTCCTAAAAGCCGCTATGTGGCAAACCCACAATAGAGTCAGTAGACAATTAAGCTTTGATTAAAGTTATTTGCGATATCGATCATCAAAAGGAAAATTAGCAGGCAGAAACTACTTTTACATATCGGCTATAACGGCAGCATCCGCATATATACGCTTGATGTTGTAAGCTTGGATGTATCGCATGGTAAACTGGAAATATTAATCATCTACGTTTTTCTTTTTAATTATGTGTGTATTGTAAGTTCTCGGAGCTCAAAGCTAAAGACGTTAGGACGCTCCTTCTTTGTGGGTTCACGCCGAGGTTTTCCCAGTTTATCCAAGACAATCGCGCAGTGAGATCTGTAAGAAAAAAGTTATTATAATAAACAACATCCGAATGCGTAAAAAAGTAAAAAAAATATGTAAAGTAAAAAAGTATGAAATAAATAAAAACTTAAAAGAACAAACACTAGTTAGAATGTTGTTAAATGTAATACTGAACAACATTCAAATAATTTAGTTTTTTCTTTTCAATATACACAAACAAATCGTCGGTCCATCGTGCTGCAGGTCGTCCCACACTACGTTGTCCAAATCGTGGTGTCCACTATAATAAGTGTCGGCTCCAGCGACCATCAGTACATCTGACACGGCCAGCCCACTTCCATTTCAGCGTGCTAAAGTTGGCATTTGGCACATTGCGGGAGGCTTACGTTCAGCAGTGGACGGCGATAGGCTGATATTATATTGTATTGTACACAGGGCCGGATTTAGGGGAGGGCTACTGGGGCAACAGCCCCGGGGTCTCCACAAACGAGGCCCAACTAGCACAGTAAAATTGAAATTTAAACAACTTTAAACTTTATAAATCCTAAACTGTCAAATAAAATCATTTTTAAATACCTATTCACAGATAACCCACTTGATCAATGTAAGTAGTTCGTCAAGTTTGCTTTTTTTTAATTTGGATAATATGGTTGTCATTGTGGTGAATTTTGATTAGAGTTGTCTTTACTCTTTAGTGACACTCGCAAGATTAAGACCAATCGATTAACGCAAGAATCATCAAAATCGGCATACACGTATGGTTTCTATAATGCTACATTTGGCGTGTTCCACATGTTTGACCGACCTTTTTATGGTAGTCATGTCATATAAAAGTAGGTACGTAAGTAAAAAATTCTATTGGGATGATGCAAACAGAAATTGGTAAGATACAAACCTTGTCACCTTTTTAACACTGCAAATAAAAAGACAATATCCTATAAATCTATATATATAAATATATATATATATATATATATATATATATATATATATATATATATAAATGAATCCCTATTTCGATTGGTCACGCCATCACGCGTGAACGGCTGGACCGATTTCGCTAATTCTTTTTTTATAATAATCCTTGAAGTAGGAAGATGGTCCGTACGGAGAGAAAAATTTAAAAAATTACCTGAATAAGTCTAAAAACAACACTTTTCTATTTTCACTTTTCTATTAAAGATTCTTAATAATACTTAAAAGTCATTTGAACACACATTTGAACTTTAATACCATAGGTAACATAAAGTTTAAGTGTTAATGGAGGTATTCTGGAAAGTAAGTGACTGTGGTAAAATGTCACATAAATGTAAACGTCTTTTGCTGTGCATCACTACATAGTATAAAACATAGTCATCCCGTTGTCTGTCTGTCCCTATCTAACTATCTATGTACGCTTAGATCTTTAAAACTACGGATCTTGATATTTTTACTAAATAGAGTGATTCAAGAGGAAGGTTTATATGTATAATACATTGCACGCCTGCGAAGCCGGGGCGGGTCGCTAGTAATTGTATAAAAGTAAAAGAGAGAGCAAAGAAAAATGTTACAATACGTCACTTACCGCTTGTGTTCCAGTGCGCGCGGTCAGCTTTAATTTCGCCGCGAAGGCATTTCTCTACATAAGTCAATGGGTCGTAATCTGCCTCCAATACCTGAAGCAAAAGTGTTTAACATGCAGATAAATTATACTATCAATTCTTGTATATATATATATATATATATACAAGAATTATATCTCGGAAACGGCTCCAGCGATTTTGATGAAATTTATTATGTGCGTAAAATCGAACTAGCTAGGTTTCATTTTTAGAAAATGTGCTTTTATCCCTATTTTCAGAGAATAAAAAATATCATTCGAATATGACGGTAAATTTCGCCGCATAAAAATGTTATAATAGCTCGGTCGGTAATCGGGCAGCCCCAAAACAGACGGCCGCGGTTCGTATCACGATCATTCACACACTTATTTTTCGATTCCAGATCATTTTCTTTTTTTTTTTTTATTTCTAAAATATGATTTTTAGATAAATATGATTTCTAATATATGATTTACCAAAAAAGCCTCCAGGTACAGACCTCCAGGTACTTATATTTAAGTTGCAATCAGATGATAAAATTTTGACTTGGCCTGTCTGCTCTGGGAATATTCTACTTAATCTCAGATCAGCTGTACCGTAGAGAGCTAATAGTCGTAGAACACACTCTCACCAAATTAACTTAATATTGTTTCTTATTTTTTCTAATATTTTGTGCGTTTACCCCCTTACACTGCACTTACAGAGTCGTCTAAAATGCTGCGTTACGTACACGCCAGCGTAACCTCAAGTTCTCTCCGTCAAAGATGCGGCTTAAGTATAGCCATCATTGACACAATTCCTTGTGCGTTGCTTTGTTATAATTGCATATTGGTGGTTCCGGCAGGTGTTGCTGATGTCCGTGGGTGATGGTAATTATTTAATATCAGGTGAACCACCTACACTGCTGATATTGCTGGTGAAAAGAGAACATACCTCTCTTAGTAGGGCAATGTATGCGATAGCCAGGCGCAGTGTGTCGATCTTGCTGAGTCGCTTCTCGTAGGGGAAGGTGGGCACGTGCACGCGCAGTTCATCGAACGCCGAGTTTATACTGCTAAAGTCACAACAACATACAACCGTTTTAGTAGACGAGTGGGAACACGTTTAAAATAAGGTAAATTCAAAAGTCCGTGTAAAGTGAAAGCATGCATGACATGTTTTATTAACATAGCATTAGATCTAGTAGTAATGATATTGTAACACACACACACATAACACATGAACCACATTCAACACGCATTAACCACATTCAACACGCATTAAAACATTCAACACGCATAAACCACTCTACCTTCGATTATATTTTTGTCAAGTATATAATCAAAGCACATTACTTGATTATATACGCTTGAATGATATGCGGCTAATTAGGTATTTACGATTCTGCAATTCGTGTTAGCCCGTTAATCTGCTAATTTAACCGTGATTGATGAAAGATTATAGCTAATAACAAAGTACAGTAACGTTCATACTGTAATGAGCTCTTTTGCCATGATATTTATAGAAATAGTGCGATAAATTCTAGTTAATTAATTTTAAAATAGTAGAAACTAGTGTTCCATATATTATTGTAATATAATTTTACAGTGAAAATATAATAGATAATGATGTAATTGACCATTATTGTAATCAAATATTTCATTGTGATGATATTATTATTGTAAGAAACTAAAAAAAAATTAAAACCTGCAGTGAGCGTCGTGGGTACCAACTTGCAATCAAATAACTACATATCACATTCACGAACGCAGAAAAAAGAAAACCGAATGAACTCTTAATGAATGCATATTAAATCAGACTATCATATTTCATTTATCCTTTGTATAAATTTTAAGGAAAGAAAAGATTTTAATTTTTTTTTTACATTTATTATAATGTAATATAATTATAGTACAATTATATATTTTTCACTTATAGATAGTAGATTGTTGACTTATAGTTGAAATGAGCTTTATTTTAAAGTCTGCGTTAATAGAGTTAGCATTAATCTAAAAAAATGCCTTACGACTCTCAGTGTGGGGTCTTTGTGCTCTTGCTTGAATCTTTGACTTGCATTAATTATTTCCGTATTATATTTTGAAATACTTATAAAAATACCCTAAGTACCCCAAATACCCCAATAAAATCCAATTTGATATTGCCTCCGGTTTTCTATAGGTATTTTACAAAAGTTACTAATTTGGAATTATTAGTAATTTTCATCAATCATTTAGAAATAAGTAGGTTTATACAATGAACGTTAATGTGACTGAATTTTAAAAATCTAACTTTTCGTATATGATAAGAAATGTATTTACCTAATTATATTCCTGGAATAAAATAATTACGTACAAGCATGTCCACTAAATTGAGATTAAATTAACATTTTTACAATCCTGTTAATGCAATCATTTTTTATTATTATTCTAAATAACTTAAGCGATTTGAATGAAAATGTGACCCAGAAAACGTTCGGAATTAACAAAACGGTTTCCTTGCATGCTCTACTATTATTTTACACTATGTTACTCGACTATATGATCCGTTCACTGCAAGGCTGTATAGAATTACGCGACACGCGAATACAAGTTCGCTTTACGCATACATAACTTCGAACCGCTTCCCTGCCAATAAGCGGTAAGGGCTTTCTGAATAAAACGGTGTCGTGATTTTTTTTTTATATCAAAAGTTGGCACGCTGGCAGGTGGCTCTTGCCGCTAAGCGATCACCGCCGCCCATAGACGCATAAACGGTACCAAATTGTACCACGGAAAATCATGAACACTTGCGCTTCACTCCGGTCTCCTGTGAAGCCGTGGTACTTTCCCCGCGAATCTGCCCATTGGTGCTCTGTATTCAAGTACTACATAAACTTGTGGCAACAAATGAAAGGGCTACCCATTGGGGCCGGACCTCAGCATGCGGCGACGCTCCCTCACGTTGGCAGCGGCTCGTTGCACCCGGTACGGAGAGCCTCCTGAGCACTGGTAGTCGGGCTCCACCGATGATTCCAGCAGAGCTTCTATCATAAGAAGGGCCGTGAAGAGAAGAGTTGCCAAGCTTATAGAACTTTCAGATGTCAGCTGGCAAATTTTTTTTGTAGCAACACATTGAGTGAAAATACATTTCCATTTTTAGGGTTCCATACCCATAGGGTAAAACGGGACCCTATTACTAAAACACTGCTGTCTCTCTGTATGTCTGTCTGTCCGTCTGTCACCAGACCGTATCTCATGAACCGTGATAGTTAGATAGTTGAAATTTTCACAGATGATGTATTTTTCTGTTAAAAACACAATAAAAAATATATAAGTGGGGCTCCCATATAACACAGCAGAAAGGAACTCGTCGTGCGCGAGTCCGAGTCTCGCACTTGGCCGGTTTTTTAATATTTGATTTTTAACTTTTTACTGTTTTGCTTCCGAGAACAATAGAAAGACACAAGAAAGATAAATTTGCCTAGAGAAAGACCAACAGCATAAAGCTCCGTTAAAAATTATTTCCTTAGCTTAAAAAAGTTTTTTTTTGCTTCTAATCAATATGAATCTGTTATTACTGATTAAAATCTATACTATAATAAAAGAGTAGAATCGGCGTGTCTGTACATTGAATATATTTATGAATAAATGAAATAGGATATCATAAAAAGAGTTATAGGAAACATAAAAACCATTTTTGGAATGTCTGACTGTGCGCGATAAACTCGGAAACTATTTATCGGATTTTGATGTAGTTTTCACTGGTTACTTAAGCGAAGCTTGGGGCAATATCTAGGCTTTGTTTCATCTCAATCGGGTCACTCAAATTGGAGATATGGGAGTTCTAAGATTAAAGTAGTGCAGTCGCAAACAGTAACTTATCACAGTTATCCAACTATTTGACTAATTTGTATGGTGTTTTTGAAAGTATTCAAGATTAATTCTGTGCAACATTAAAGCTTTGTTTTATTACAAATGGTTCACTCAAAAAAAAGTTATGTGAATACTCACAAAACATAGGATCGTTTTTACGGGGTTTTTGATACCGGGTCAGTACAACTTCCTCGCAATATTAAAGTATCGTTTGCTCGTAATCAGTTTACTTTGATAGAATTACAGTCCAGCATAGGTAAGTTACGATAAGAAAAGGAATTACTTCCCGTACAAAAACTAGATGTTGTTAAATTCATAAAATGCGTTGTACACATATTTTCACAAGTTAAAGGGACAAGGGCCGACCATTTTGGCATTTTAATTATAATAATGCCAATTTCTTCGATTGAGATTAATACGATAGAAACGATTTTAGTTTTGCTCGGTACACGGATATTCTTGATTTTGGTTTGCGATTTGGTTAGTTGTTAGTAACAGTAGTAAATTTCCTACAGGCCGCGAACTCGGCGGGCCAAATATAGGAGGCTGCAAATTAGTGGGGTTTTTTAGTAGCGTTGCTTGCCTTTCGCCTCTCGCTTCTTTGCGTAGGCGATATTTCATGAAAATTATAACAAATCAAGCGGGCCTGATAAGTAGGTACCATTCGTCGGATCCATAATGTCATGTACCTACTAACTTTCTTTGTTTAATTTTTTGTGTCTTCGCTAGAAGTATTTTCTCTTAAGCTTTAATGAGCCTAGGGCGACCAACGGACAAATCTGTCCCTGTTTAGGAATATACATTTGCTTAGGCTAGGATATTCGGATATTATTTTGCTTTGTGGTTTGGAAATTATGTTTGTTTTTTGTCACTGACTCACAAATCGTATCTGATATTTTTTTAAATTAAGATACTTATTTTTTAGTATTTTCTAAATGATTGAATTTACCTTTTAATATTTATTACAAAAATGCCTTGATAGAATTAAAAAGAGTGAGAACGATTTGATCTCTACAATCTAATGAAAACCAAACACGACTTAGTGCTGATAACCATTTCGCCATAGACGCCATTCATTATGCATATTGGAGTAAGTTATAGTTTATAGACATTAAAGTAAAGTAAAAAGTAAACTGATAGTGAAATTTGACTAAGCACCTGTATAGGCCGTTGACAGAACACTACAGTACATACACCGAGACGAAAGGCCAATGGGGAACGTCACAGTTGTTTTCTCTAGAGATTTTCGAAACCCTTCCTCTCATTACTCAGGGGACTAAAGCGAAGAAATAAATGTCTCACAGAAGCGTTCTTATCTCTGATCTTAAAAACATAAGTTGCGGTTGACAGTTAACGTGCGGACTCCGTTTAGCGATGTACTCACAGTAACAAGAATTTTCCGATGTTCTGTTAAAATTTGAGAAGGCAGAATGGATATCCTTTCAGAGAAAAATGGGCAGGTGTGTCTTCAGAACATACTTGGTACAGTCATTTACTCCGAAAACAAACTGTTAAGTTCAGTATTTGGAGAACTTTCATGTTGAACACTTGAAAGTTCTCCAAATACTGAACTTAAAGCCTAAACATAAACATGTTTTTTTTTTCTGATAATATCAGGATAATTTTTGGTTATGTGAACGCATTATGCTCACTGCAAGCAATGACCAAGCCACAAATTAGCCGGTTAAGTTTTTAAGTTCGCTTACTGCAAGTGGCCGTTCTGCATATAAAATCCCGCGCAATGTCGATGTAAAATTGTGCAATCGCGGATTCTATTTTCAACTTCATATAAACTGAACTTCATATAAACGTAACTTCTCTACAGAGGCACATAATTCAAGCTGCGATCGTCACTGGGTGTGGCTCAGACAAAATTTTGGTTATTTCGCGAATACAACTCGCTTGATCACTGACCATGGCGCAGTTGTCAAGGCATTGCCTTTGGCGTGGGTTCGATTCTCACACGGGACAATTATTTGTATGGCCCATAGTAATTGTTTCCCAGAAGGCAAAACTATGAATGTGGTATTTAAAGTGACATTTTATTGTACACTAGCTTTTCGCCCGCGGTTCGGCCCGTATGTACCACATTTTATATCGTGCTTAAAAAGTAGCCTTCCTCAATAAATTGTGCAAAAATTTTTCTAATCGGACCAGTAATTGTTGAGATTATTGAGTTTAAACAAACTGATGCTAGCTAGACTGCTAGCATCTGTTTGATACATGTATCTCATAAACTGTGATATTTAGACAGTTGAAATTTTCACTGTTAACGCTATAACAAAAAATAAAGTAAATCAGAATATTTTTTTAAGTGGGGCTCTCATACAACGGACATAATTTTATTGCATTTTTTTATAGATTATGGTATGGAACTCTTCGTTCACGATTGCGACTCGCATTTGGCTGGTTTTTAAATTTATACAATCTAACAATCATCATCATTTTACAGACCATAATATAATTATAGTTAAATCCAATTTAGCTGTAGCGATTCTTTTTTTAAGTTGATACAACTTTTTTATTTATGAACCGATTTGAATAAAACTAACACTAAATGTTAAGTGAAGTACTACAATGCATCAGTGAAAGTGCACCCAAATCGGTTAAGCCGTTTCTCCCATACACACAGACAACAATTTTAGCAACCATTGTTTTGGGTTCTATTGCGTTGATAAAGGAGGATCTTTAATAATAGTTTTTCTCAAATGTCTACCATGTACAGACAAAGACAAGTTGCATTTTTATTATACGTATAGATATCTGCCTCTTCCCCCTATTCCACGCGGACGTAGTCGTGGGCAACAGCTAGTATTTAATAATAACGCATGAAACTAATAAGAAATCATTATGGTCAACCGAGGAATTAGCTAGTACGCATAAATATCTTATATTTATTCAATATTTTATAATGCAGCAGGTACATCTAACGCAATGGGTACTAAAAAGTCAAACATGTTCAAGGAGTTATCCAATTTAGAACGGTCGTTTTTGCATTTTCAGATTTTTATTTTTATTCAAATTAATAAATAGGAATAACAAAACGATACCAAAAAACAGATCAAAATACCTGTGTGCAGTTGCCGCGTATGCTGGTGGACGTATGCTGCTAAAGGTAGTTGAAGCCGGCTCCTGGCTGCAGCATACACGCAGGAAGGTAACTCCGAAGTTACAGAGCCACTTTCGTCGTCGGAACCGTCAGCGTAGGCAAACTTGAGATTACCGTAATCCAAACGTCGACTGTCGCTAAAAATCGCCATAATCGCAAAAATTATCTCCATTAAACTATTATTTCATAATAATTTATAGGTTGACTGGACGGTAATGCTGAGGCCGCAAGCAAGCTTACGTACGTTATTTTTACATGAAATGAAAATAAATAAATAATTATATAAATAAGTTGCAATAATAAAAAGCTTGTAACTGAAAAATATATTTTAATTTTGAAATTATTTAAAACGGCATCTAATTATTAAACACTTGTTACAAATAGCGTCCGTTTTCTATTAAAAATAAACACTAAACTTACTTAAGCGACGGTGAAGTAGACGAATCAGCCATTTGCGTTCTCGCCCCCGACATGGCTTGACAATTTTATGATGAAGCAACGCTGAACACACGTAATTGCGGTAGGAGCGCTTCTCACTCAAATACTTAGGAGAACTGGCAAAGAACTGTGTTATAGAAATAAATTTATACCACGAAGGGTGGACATTTTAATGTGTAGGCAGGCTCTGCCTGTGTGTGATGGGGTGTAGAATATAGTTTACGCGATTTTAGAATCTACTGTCAGGAGACAATGTTCAGATTAGATTTTCCCACGATGAGTAAGTGTGCTCAATACCTCAACCCCTAGCGAATGGGCGGCGCGTTTAATGTGAAAGGGGCCGGGCCACTACACGATTTTGGGGTAAATTGGAAGAAATGTTATTTTATTTTATTTCAACGTAACACTTCTCATTTTATTTTAATAAAAAAATACTGTTATACTCACAATATTTAAAACAAGACTGTATTTCAAACAAAAACACAAATTTTAATAAACAAGGCCTTAAGGAAATTATGTCTTTCTATTTAGAAAATATTGTAAATCAGAATTATGGTAAATATATTTAGCTAGCACTTATTAAAACGTTTACTCAGTATTACAAAACTTATGTTGTTTGTAAGTAAATTTACTTTTAATTTACTTAAAATTTACGTTTTCCTTTTCTTTCTTTTATATAAAAATTACAAAAGTGTAAATATTTCGTTTTGATTTGGAGAATAAAATTCGTGGTAAAGAATGATGATGATGATGATGATGATCCTCAGAATATAAGAGCGGCAAAGCATTTTCTGCATCAATGTGTTCTTATATGAACTATATATCATATAATTTCATAAGACACGTTGATGTATATATCCTGAATTCGATATCAACAATACACGTCTATATTTGTAATAAACATCACCGCAAACCGCTCCTTGCCACGGAATTTTCCGTTGCGACCTTCTTCCCGCCTGCCAATTTCTGCTGCGCACTAGTAGTGAGATGGGGATCAATGCCGAACACTGTCTCCCATTGGATGGCCGACGGCTGCTCTTGTCAGCTGTAAAACGCACGCCATGGACCAGGAGGCTGCTATAGAGTACACTTCCGCTACGCACTAAAGAAAATTATCAGCCGCGCGCTTACCATGTGCTATTTTTCATACTTGGAGCAAGTAACTAAGGGTTAATGAAATCTTAGAACTTGAACTGCTTAAATATTTACAATCTTTATGGATCTAATATTTACAAGATTAAATCTATCCAATATTACATATTATCTAATAAATCTAATCCACGCGGCATGGTGCCAAGAACGCTAGCTGCATTTCCTCACTGAATGTTATGCTTAAGCTTTGAGCCAGAAAAGAACAAGCTCTCTTGTCACCAGTCGCGGCGTTAAGCCTAGAACATAAATTTTTGATGAAAAAATGTTGATGTGCGGGGACCCCACGGACCTAAAGTTTCAACAGCAAATGGCACAAATACATAATCTAAACATAAGGACTCATATTTGCGCCATTTACTTACTTCAGTTGCCTCCGATGCCGCCCCAGCCCTGACCGAAGTACCTCTTAGATGAGAGGCAGCCAAAGTGTCTACACAAGTGGCGTACCAAACAAGGGCTTTGCCTCTCTCCTAAGGGATCAATGTTAAACCGTCGGGTCTCTTACCATCGTCGCGAAAAATGCCAGGGCTCTAAAATAGATAGAACATTGAAGGAAACAAGAGCCCTACGGATGATGTCGTTCAGGGAACCGTGGCGGGAAAAACGGCCAGCACTTTTTTGACAAGAAACCCCGTGGAGACCAAATTTGTCTACACTGACACCACAAGTCAAGTAATGTGCCCAAATTACTTGATGGTAAAGCGTGAAGCCAATAACTCGATTATTTAGATGAGACGCCTAGGAAACGGGCACGCTCAAATTACTTTCTAAAGATTGAAACGTATCTCTCTGTACTCTCCGCACCAAAGGAACATCTCACTATTTTTGTAGGTTTACTTCCAGTGGGATATTTTCGTTGGGGCAGATAGACAGCCAAAACATCCTTGCTTCCTCTGCATAGGAAAGTTCTGAATCGTGCTTAAAGATGTTATTAATTATTTACGCTATGCACGGAAGCAAGGAAGGCAGGTAGAGCGACACTAGAAATTTTCCTTACACCGATATGAATGCTGCTGATATATACAAACTGCTTATGAATCTCATTTACAATTAGTTCCAGTCATCTTTTCATCAACATAATTACGTTATTTGTACATATAAATTCATATAATTACGTCATATTGCGGGCTGAAAGTACAGAGGTATTTTATTTGGATTATACGTAAAGTCAGAGCAAACTGTAGTGGGATTGCCGTAGCTCATAAATTTATTTATTTGTAGAAAGAAAACCAATGATTTTGACCCGAAAATGAAAGTTGCACGCCACATAGATTCGCAATTTCCAAAACTTCACCTCCAGTTTTATAAGCAATTGCGTGATTTTAAAATGTTTAACAAATTTATGACGAATATGCGGTTAGAGGCGACTCTTTAAATCGATTAATTTTTCTATTAATCGTCTTTATAGGTACCTATATTTGTATATATTTTCCGTGAAAAGTTGTCAAGCGAGCAGGCGGTTCAGCTGATGTTTAATGAATACCGCCGCCCATGGACATCTACAACTGATGGCTTGCTGATGCGTTGACGACCTTTAAAAATATGGGCCCCGGGTACCTCACATGAGAGACGAAACGCAAAAGTTTAATACTTCAATTTCACGCCGGTCTTCTGTGAGGCAGTGGTACTTCCCCGGACGACCCTTCCCATTCATGTAACACCAGAAGTTGATGCGTGGTGGTGCAGTAAAATATATAATTCTATTCTTTATAGGTATCTATTTATTCTTCTATACGTGTATATATTGAACTCCGCCTAAGCGGTTGGACTGATTTTAAAGAAATACTTTCATAATGGGGTAGGGGGTTAGGATGTTTTTGCATATTTGACGAAACAATTCTGGGCTGATGTACTTTTAACAGATACGTAACAGTACTTTTTAGTAACTGGCTTTTTAGGACACATATCACGATGCATTCATTATATGAATTTCATTTGCTGGAATGTTGAGATCTCTCAGTTATGGATGCACTACTGAATTCCTCTTATTATTATTCCTTTATTATTGTCATTAATAACTTATTTTGTTTTAAGTCATGAGCAAATACTTACTGCTGAACATATAGTTAATTACGCGTTTAGTTGTAAAAGGCGTATATTTAACTTCGGAAGCACGAAACGACCGCTTCGGTCGTTTAGTTCAAAAAATGATATTTCGTTTCCTATTGCTTCATCAGGCATTGGAGAGACTTTTTTGATTTTGGATGCACAGCACATTCGGTACTTAAATATCAAAAAACGCCTAAACATATCTAGACAATTTAGCATGGCAAAGTTTAGCAAAAATGCAAAATGATTATGTGGGTTGAATGAACTTTGGCCTCACAAATATTCACTTGTAGTTCTTAATGAAATTGTACAAGATCTATACAATAAAACACTACTACTACATGCCAGTCAATGCAGTTTCATATGTTCATGCAGTCAATGCAGTTTCATATGTTCATCAAAAATAACAAATATTTATAAATCACACTAACTTAATAATTATTCTTAAGAGATATTATGGTATACATAGCTATAATAAATAATTTAAATTAATAATAATTAACAAATTTTTGTTTTAAACGTACTATATCTAAAACATAATTTTAATGCCTGAGAATAAAAACAAACTTTATTACTACCTTCAGGAAATAAAACCATTCGATTAATGTCGAGATATTAATAGGTAGGTTAAGATAATAAAAATCATAATTTATGATTATGTACTTAGGTAATGAGTTTGTTTTTGTATCGTTCTTTTACAAAATAATTAATTTTTTTTTGAAAAACAGCCATGGAGTCCATATACTCCTTCAGAATTAAAAATAATGTCTCAGTGATGATTTCCGTATCACAATATCTTTTTTAATTTGGTTACCTTCGATAATTTAACAATTTTTTTTTTATGGAGAAAAGGGGCAAACATGCATGAGGCCCACTTGTTCACTTTCACTTTTCACTTTTCACTGTTGCATGATGGGCTGGTCCGTCCGGGTACTTACCACGACCTCATAGAATACCAGCGTAAATTAGAAGTGTTACACTTTGCGTCTCATCTAGTGAGTGAAGTAGCCAGCCTTATTTAAAGGAGGCAACGCATATTTTGCAATCCTACGGGTGTTGCAAATGTCTATGGGCAGTGGTTATTTCTTAACATCAGGTGAACTGACAGCTCGATTGTCACTCTTCCACATAATAAAAAAAAATGTATGCTCATTTCTTGAAAGTTCCTAACGGTTCTGAAAGACCGCCGGCGGCAGCTGGTTCCACAGAATGGTTGTGCGAGGCAGGAAATGCCTTGAAAATCGCACTGTTGTAGAACCATGGACATCGAGGTGGTGTGGATGAAATTTTTGGTTTTGGCGCGATGTCCGATGGTGAAATTCAGCCGCCGGGATCAATCCAAATAATTCCTCGGAATACTCCCTGTGATAAATGCGGTTATGACGTTTGGCAAAATGGCAACGTCGGAGGTTTATTAGTCGTTTCGAATACATTTTTTGTTTTAGAGATAGATATATAACTATAACTAATATCCGAAGGATTATCAGGGAGAAAAACAACAATATCTTTTCCATATAATGCTTGCACCATTGTAGTCGTGAAATGTGTCGCCAGCGATATTCCCAGATCTGCAAGCTTCTTTGAATAATTGCGCGTTTATCTGACCGAGGTTTTTGCCCCAAACAAATATTTCACTAAATATTCATTTCAAAGCATAACTGTTATTTTGTCTGGCTACAAGCGACACATGATATCTCAAATTTGAGAATTATAACAAAGTAGTCAACTATCCAGCTGAATTTGTGAATTTTTTGGATTTACGGAGAACATGCAAATGGTGTGGAAAAGCGACTATTAGAAACTGTACACAATGTTCTACTACTGGGCAGGAGTCTCCACTATTGACTCTACCACGGTTTAGTAGAGTTCAAATATCTTCCAAATATTTTTTTACTATTATTTCGAAAATACGCCAGTTTCCTCTTTATGTGTTTTTCTTCACCAATAAGCACGTCTATAAGCACTTAAAATTGAAATTAATTTCATTGTTATAACTCAGGTTGCTTGAGTATTTTTAATTAAAAGCGAGCGCTCAGACACTGATAAGCACCAAATATTGTCCGGTCATGAAACTACAATAACACAACGACAATAGAAAATCACACAATGATTACACGAAAAGATTGTGTCAAATGTCAGTTAGTACTTATATGGTTATATACAAATACGAGGTATATATAACACTAGCGCCTAAGTGTAAAAGATTGTCTTACCGTATCATAAATTCTATATCATGTGTCACATTCACTTATACAATATGTATATGTCATATATTAAAAACTTTCCATTTTGTAACCGCCGCGCAGTGTGAACATACTACATTATTATTATTAAACATAATTTGTTTATCGCAAATTGGAATTATAAAGTAAATGATATTTGCCTAATATGCATCGGTTTGTAAATCCTTTTTGGGTGCGGCAAAAGTAAAGTAATTGTATTTTAGAGTATGATATATAATCAACTGAAATAAGCTTATGAGTATCAACAAAATAAAAAATTTAAATAACAAACATTAAAGATTTTTGTTTTATAAATTTAAAAGTTTTTTATAGTGCTCTGCACTTAAGATTGAACATTAAAACATGTAGAAAAAGTACGAAAAGATTGTCGCCGCTGTGGGAATCGAACCCACGTCGATGTTTTTTATTTATATTATTAACGAAAATGATAATGAAACTTAAATTTATATGGCTTTCAATTGCCATCATACTTTGAGTCATAGATGAAACTAGCCAGCCACGGCTTTAGTCTCTAAGGAGTTCTTCGACCTCTTCGTATTCGTATGTTGGATTTCATCATTTTCCTTCTAATGGTCTTGTTCGGTGACAAGTCTGGGTCATTTGACGGCCAGACTTGTATGAATGGATTTTAATAATGCTCTTTGATTAAACTATGACTTCTGGCATCCCAAATTTCAATTGCGAGGCACCATTAATGTTGTATGGCCATACGAAATCTGTTGCACGAATGGGTAGCTTTTTAATTCAGATTCATTCATACCAAGTCATTGATACAGTTCTTTCTTCTTTAATTTTCATTACGAATATTGCCAGCCAATGCTTCTGATAAAGCAATGAAGTCCGGTGTGTAAATAAATAAATATAACTTTTCTAGTTGTTACAGTAGTTGTGACTCCTAAATATTTTTTATTAAAAATATTTATAATGGTCACTTGTCTTCTCAATTATTTTTATAGAGAAATAAAGCACCTAAGATTTAATTAAATCTTTTTAAAAATATATAATTAATTTCAATTGAGAATTGGCTTTTAAACCAATATTGCTTTCATGGGATAATGGTAGAAATCCTAACTAACTCTAACTCTCTCTTTTTCACGTTGCTATCTGTTGAAATGATTGCCATGAAAACATTTTGGGTCCTCATCATCATTTCAGCCTGTTTGATTCAATTTGACATGATTTTGTGTCAAATTGAAATGTCAAAGTCAAATATGTATATTTTCCAAGCAACGGTTATATTTTCCAAGCAATTTTTTGCACCAAGTGTGCTCTCTGGAAAACTAAACTATTTTAGGGATAAATTCAATCCACGCTTCTGACATGAAGTATTTGTACATCCCCTGTTGCAACAAACCTTTTTTGCCAACAGTAACTGAATGGCCAAATTTGGCACTGGACCTAGGCCGAAAGTGGCTTTAGCTGGGAGGGCCGTTTCGGTGTGATACCAATAATTGTGTTAGAGCAGCCGTATATCAAAGTAAAAGCATTACCGAGGGACTTGTTTAAAGGCACTTGAAGGGTACCCATTACTAAATCACACCGCCTCATTGAAAACCGTGCGAACGTAAAAAAATCTTACTTAACTACCACGTTGCGAGTTTCCGATGGCGCGTCCATAAATTAGCGTTGCTCCCTAACTGTAAACAAGTAATTCGCGCAACGGCTGTAATTTGGCGCTAATTCCCGTTCGGAAGTCGCGCCCGGGTTGACCCTGTAATTGATTTGTCGCGGCGAGTGGCTGCCGGCGACGCTCTGCGACTGCGAATGTCGCGCCACGTGGAAGCCGCGCGGCCGCCACGCTCCAAGGCCACGCCCCGTTTGAACGCTTTTGATGGTTTTCCGTGCGAGAGCTCCTGCCTAGAGGTCTACGCCGAGTGGCGTTGCAGATGTTAATGTGAAGTGATTTACTGGGTCTGCTCGCGATGAATTGCTTTTTGACGATGTCCGTCCGCTTTGAGTGTGCGACAGATTCAGGACTCTTCTTTGTTATCGCTTTTTTAATTTGGTTTTCAAATGTGGTTTAGTTTTTGTGGTGAGGTGAAAGAAAATATTGAAATTCAATATTTTCACCAAATTTTTCATAAAACATTCGGCTTTGTGAAGGCTTTTACTAGTTAATGCAATACTAGGCGCTATTTATTATTTATTTTACTGAACATCGAGTCCTCCTCCACCGAAATGAGAAAAAGTCTTTAGCTTTTTCTAATAGCTTTTTGGGTTTTATTTAATAATTTCTACGGCACGCGGTGGAGCCACGTACCTACTACCTATGTCCCAAACGTTAATAAAACTGAACATTACAAAAATAAGCGAAAGCTTATTTTTTATATATGCAAAGCTTTTAAATATGCAAAGAGCTTTAGTTTTTTGTTTTTTATATCATCCAATCAAACGCTAAAAAAATTCTCATAAGTCTTAATTTAAATCCAAATCATGCAAACTACAAACTGCGGCGGTAAGCCATCGGTCTCCGGTTAATTTATTTATTTGCGCGCGTACGCCGGGTCGGGATTATCCGCCAAGTGCTTGCACGTGGGTCCGCACCCTTTGTCCCGAGACCGCCGAGCTTGCGGCCTCGGCTCCGGCTTGTGGCACGCGACCGCCACGCGCCGCTCAAAGTACCCGGAACATGTTCCAACGCCCACACCGGGACCGTTGCTCCGACTGCACTTAATTAATCCATGTCGTGAAGTACTCATAAACATTGTAAACTGCAATCGGGGAACGCTTGGTGGATCTAAGATTGTGATGAAAATATACGGTGCGTCCATGAATTGGGATCATAGAATTGGGTTAAGTATATAAATACTAAAAGCTATGTAATTTTTTTGCCATTTATAAACGTAACACTGAGCGCTGATAAATATTTAATCTTTCAATAAAATTTTACTGTAGGTACTCATTCTATTTTTCCTAGAAAGGGCTGAAGACCAATTACGTACGTGATTATTATACTTATTTATCAATCTTAAGAAAATTCACACATTACATGTGTAGAAACTGAAAACAAACGTTTTAGGGTAAAAGGAATTTTGATCTACTCTACAAATTTCAACAACTTCTCAATAGAGCGAAAACTAAATCGTTTCCTTTTATCAGCGGACCCCTACCCGTATTTGTCTGTCTGTTTGTTGTATTTAAGCATTTATTATACGCAATTATTAACAAGTCGCGGGCAGGCTTGTGTGCCCCGATTGTGTCCAGTGGTTCCCAAATAATTATTAAACGTGGTAGGTATTTTACTTTTTTAATTAAAAGCAATAACCACCTCATTATTTTTGTATAATCTAAAATAATATACCAATGTACTACATAAAAAATCAGGCAGCAGGCGTCTAAAAAGGCGACGGTTAAGGTTAAAAAGGTTAAAAAGGTTAACAAGTTGATACAATTATTTTTATTTACCCGACTAAAATCTCTAATAGCGGTTTCCTTGAAATATAAAAATGTTACATTGAAATATGAATAAGTTAATCATGAAGTTTTTTCAGATGAAACTTTGATTGTACCGTCTATAATGCTTACAAAGTTTGGGAAACATCCTCAAAATGCTCTATTTAACGTTGGTCGTACAGTACAGAGGGTTAACCGCTGTCACATGACTCATCCCCATCAAGTATAAACACCGGGATCCTATGGGAACAACACACAAAATTATCCAAAGCTAATTGTTTAATGCCTTCATGCCGTTTTACTAAACAGATTGTGAAATGTGTTTGTTGTGCGATTGTTTCGTGGTCATTGTTGACATATTTTAAAATTCTTTTTGGCTTTTACGACGCACTGCTATTATCCTTTCAAAAAAAATGTGATTAGGTCCTAATGATCCAAGATTTGCCTAGTACAAGTATTACAAGTATGCTATCTAGATTTACCTTGTACTGTGGTCCAAGCGTATTGTAAATTGGAGAATTAGAAATATTTGTGTTTAAGCTCTACCTTCTTACTTTTTACGTATTATGCACCTTTTTATTATTTAATGAACCATAATTTTATTTAACAAGTACTTGCTTACTAACGTATATTTTTATATATTTTATAAAATCAGGGCATTTCGTTGGGTGAAAAACCGAAAATGCTACTGCAAAAAAAGTTCGTACTGTGGTCTGCGTCGACGAGAAAGGCAAATTAATTCACCATTAACAATTAATTTAAGGATAATAAATCAGAAAACAAAGGCAAATATTTTTAAGCGCTATCCATTAAGTTAGTCATAGGACGAAGGTAGTTCGTATCTAAATCAACTTTCCTTCCTCGGTAAATTTATACTAATCAATAACGGTAAAATCCAAATTGGTTCAAAAGGATGAAACGTTTTGTCTGTAAATATACATACAGTACGAAGCTCTGAGTGACTTTTTTAACGTTCACAGGATTTTTGTTTTAGATTATAAATTTGGATTGTATAAAAAAGATAACAATTATTTCTATTAATTAAATATTTAATCATACATAAATTTTCAACAAGTCTTTATTTATTTACTACCTAATTGTTCTTCTCGGGCACAACAGTCTTGTCAGGCATTCTGATCTCCTCTACCGCCAGATTCTCACTACTCGATTTGGTTTGCACGTACTTGTATCGAAGTGCCATTGCAGTGAAAATCAGCATGTCCAGCATCATTAATCCAGCGAACAGGAAAAATTCTTTCCACTGAAAAAGTAATATGGTATCAACATCAAATTTAGTAACTCAGCGGGAGTCGGATCTTGAATATAGAACATGTTACCTGTGCGTCTAAAAAGTTCCCTTCCACAATGAGCACGACAATGAGGTTACCAAACGCGACAGTAAGCAGCCAGACGGACTGCAGTACCGATTTCATGGTAGCGGGCGCCTGTGTAAAGGAGAATTCTAACCCCGTCACGGAGAACATCACCTCGCCCATTGTCATTACGACATACTGAGGTATCAGCCACAGTATGTGCACAGTGTTCGGTGGAGTTATAGTGACGACGTTCGCTAACTGTAATTAAACATTATAATTATGTAACACTTTTAACAAATTTACAACAATGCTCAAAATTGCCGTCATCGGCCGCTTAGCTGGGATTAGCGAATTTAACTATGATCCTTTTTTTTGGGTTAATTTTTAGTGCAAGTCTCTGCACTCAAGATTAAACTTTTTAATTATAAATTTTTGTAGATAAACGTACAAATCCTTTCGCATCCGCCCAGACGCTTTACCAACTAAGCTAAGGGGCACGGCGCGTAAATATTGACATCTATCTACGATCATTCTATAGCATTTTTAGCAACATGCTTGGCGCCAACTAGTGCGCATACCTTACAGATGATTATTTGTAATGAGACATGTCGCTTATACCTTTAATATAGTGTTATATAGTGTTACTCACATAATTCAGAACGCTATCTTCGTGTAATATAATGGTGTACACGGCACCCGATTTAAAAGAAAAGTCTTTTAGTACTGTAACTTCTCCCACAAGGACGTCATATGTCCCCTTCTCAAAAGAATATTGACCTTTATCAGTACTTGCAATGTTCAATTTTGTTCGATTTTTCTTGTTGTCTTGAATAGTTATTTGAACCAAATTAATCATATTTGATAGAAACCTGTACAAACAAAATACATATTCTATTTAGGATTCTGTGGGAAGACCAAGTATTAAAACCTTATCTCGATACATCAATTTTTTCGGCAGTTATCCTAACCACCTCATAAAAAAATTCGGACGTCCACGTAACTTTTTCTCAAATTTTTTTTAAATAGCAAATTATTTTTTTATTTACGGAATATGAAATAGATTATTTAAACTGTTTTCTTCAAATATATGTACTTATATTATCGTATAAGCACCAATTGGTTGTGGTAGAGGCAGTGTAAGAGCAAAAATTTAATTTGTCGCGTCGAGAGTAGAGCACAACCTCTAACCGCATCGCGGTATGAGGCGTGCAAATGATAAACAGGTACGGATTATATGAAAATATGACTCGCTTGGGGGAAAAACTATCTATAATAATAAATTGTTATGATTATTATTGGTAGTAAATTCCTAAATATATGCTAACACAATTCCTAAAAAGTATGCTATTCGAAGTATTTCATAAAAAATCGCTTACTTAATCAAATCTGTTTACGCAATGCCTTGCATGCAATTGAGTGACAGCTGTAAAATTTTTCTGATAGCGTTGGATTAGCACTTTACACTCAAGAGACCTATTGAATTGTTGTGTGCTAGAATAATGATACGTTTGTTCTGTTACGTTTTGTTCCATATGATTTTAGCAGTAAAAGCGCATAAAGTTGAAGTTAAAGTCCAACAAGGACTAATTTTAGGGAGTAAAGAGTTTACAGTGTACGAAGAAAAATTGTATTTTGCTTTCTACGGTGTACCGTACGCCAGACCACCAGTTGGTAAGCTCAGATTCAAAGATCCTAAGCCACCAAGAAAATGGAAGAAACCATTCGACGCAAGGACTGAATATCATGGGGCATGTGCCCAAGCGCACATAGTCCATAAGCATGCGCTATACGGTTATGAGGATTGTCTAAATTTAAATATCTTCACACCATGCCTACCAAATAACGGCAAAGAATGCTCTAAAGCCGTTATCATCTGGATTCATGGTTACGCGTTCACTTCCAGTTTTAGTCATACACACGGCGCTGACTTCTTGATAAATAATGACGTGCTGTTTATCAGTTTAACTCATAGAATTGGCGTATTCGGATTTTTGAAATTAAATGACGAGGACGCAAATGCGAACATGGGTCTGAAAGACATCTTAATGGCGTTGAAATGGATCAGAAGAAATGTAGGAAACTTCGGTGGCGATAAAAATAAAATCACACTGATGGGCAGTGGCTCCGCAGCTAACTTTATTACCTTGCTAATGACCACCAAGCATAAGAAGTTATTTACTAAGGTCATATTACAAAGCGGTAGCTTATTTTCTCCTACAATATTTCAAAACGATCATCAATTACAAAGAGACAGACTACTAGATAAACTTAAGAAAATTGGCATTGGAAGTTTGGCGAATGCCACGACTAAAGATATCGTTATTCACTCGCAAAAAATTTACACGAGAAACGAAATAATTGACTTCCAAAGACCCATTGTACCTTTCACGCCGATAGTAGAAGAAGCCTCAAACCAGTCTTTATTAACCGAACAATCACATGCTGTATACAGAAATATGCAAAGGATGGACATAAATATACCAGTTTTAATCGGTTTCAATAGTGGGGAAAGTATATCGGAGCTAATTCCATTTTTGCATAATACTCGTTATTTGCAAAAGTTTTACAGTTTTTTTAAATACATGGTACCATTTTCTACTGGATGCAAATTCAATTCCTCGTCCGAGTTATACAGTAAAGTCGCAACAGAAATAAAAGAGAAATATTTTAAAGGTGGTCCCTCAATTCAAAACTTTCTTCAGTACGCGAGTGATTTGCATATTTATCCCATATATAAATTTATTAAAAAATATTCGACTTTAACAAAGGTGTTCGTATACAAATTTAATTATAGTGGAATGTTTAATTTGGTAAAAGCAACATCTTTAGCAGGGGCAAAGACGTCTGTAAAAGGCGCTGCAGAGGGTGACGAAATATGCTACATTTTAAAATGTGAACCACTTTGGGAGAGTTATGTGAAGCTAATACACAATTCGACTAGCTCTGATAAAATGTTGATTAAACGAATGTCAGAGATGTGGGCGAACTTTGCCAAATTTGCTTACCCTTTACGAAATCAATGTGGTAAACTTACGTGGCCTCCGATGACTATTAACGATGACACCGTTTACATTTTTGGAAAAGAAGACAAATTACACAATTTTAAATTAGAACAAGAAACGTTCAATTTTTGGAGTGATATTTACGATAAATATTACGCAAGTAAACATTGTGATAAAATTCGCGATGAGTTTTAATATTCATTTTTTATTTCTTGAATATTGGTTAATTAATGATAAAATGATGTCAGTAAATGCAATTTCCACTAAGCGTTCGAAAAGCAGGATTAAATATTAAGCTACTTTTATTAAAATTTCTAAAAATAACAACAACACCAAAATAACTGCGGTAATTACTTTACCTCACATTAACTCCGTCTATAGCCTTGTCATTATTGTCAGTAAAGTTCTGAATTTCACCATTTGTAACGAAATAAGAATTTGCGGTTTTCTCTTTCAGTCGAAAATAACCACCATGTTTAACGTCTGCACAATCCGTGCTGTTTTGCCCATTGAGGGAATATGGCAGGTCTACTAATTTATTCGCTTCAATATCCAACTTTTCATAAACATCTAGAGGTCCTAATATAACATTCTCCGTAATGTTATTGGGCTCGTTAAAAATGCTAATCGTTAAATTGCAGTTGAATCCATTGTAAACTCTTAACTGTGCCAGACCTTCCGAAACTGGCGTGCCATAAGTAGGCTGTAAGAGAAATAAGTAAAAATGAAATTGTTATTTAGTACTATGAATTGGCAGTAAAATAATAGGTAATGCTTTGACCAAAAGATTCAACTCGACGACTCCAGAAATGAGGAACGCGACTGCAGCCAAAATGCCTCCCAAGATCATTTTGTGCAACGGTTTCCTCACCAGTTTACACCATGTCAAGAACGGATAAATAGCCTAAAACAAATTACATATATTAAATCTTTCAATATAAGTATATGCTTTAAGCGAAAGATGAGGGTTGTTAATAATCAGATAATTGTTTCGGATTTATGTGTTTGTCCACGTAAAATTTATGTATTAAAAACGCCATTACAACACACGATAAAGTTAGTAAGGTAGTAAGTAAGGGGTCAATAAAAATTTGTAAAAACAAAAGAGAAAAATAAAATACCGAAACAAAAGAAAAAGTGACACAAAGTGAAACAGAGTTAATTAATTGACATTTCATATTTCTGTAAGTAGCTCTTTTTTATTTCATGATTTGCAGTAAGGCTTAGAAACGAATGTCTTCGAAAAGTTATATCAGCTGTCTGTCAATTTAGCCCCATAGGCCTACTTCAAGGCTGAACACTTACCCTAAGCCTCGGCTTGTCTCTTTTTGCATCAATAATAATGTTAAGCGCGAACAAGATTATTTATTTAATTTAGGGATATTAAAGCTATGTGGTTAAAGCTATGCGCCAGATAATTTAGAAGTATTTAATATTATCTCAAAAGTCTTATAACCTTATGAGTGGTATATCTAGACGGTGAATGTTTACGTGGACTCTTTTTCTCTTTTACTTAATCTCTTTTTCTCGAATAGGTACACTTATTTATATCTACCAGATTTTGTATATTATTAACCGTGGATACTGTTTAAAAAATTATAAAATTTATTAAAAGTTACCCGCTACTTACCACTTCGAACAGAGGGATGAATATTAAAATTAGCAAGGGATTTAACACTTGCATTTGATCTGCCTTTAGAGTCCAGTTTCCGATATCCTGTTCCATTCTGTCAGCTTGGAAAGTCCACCTCGAACCCTAAAATTAAAATGCGAAAGAACGCTTACCTAAATTGTCGTGAATTAACTTTTATCTCGTTAGTTTAATTTCTATTATCTATAAAAGAAAGCTCCAGGAATCAAAGTTCCCCTCCTCACTGAATTGTTAAGCTATAGCAGTAAGAACGTTGCAGTTACTTGCCTGTTGATCGAAGAGCGCCCAGAAGACCGGCAAAGGTATAAAGAGGACCAATACTCGAAGCAGAGACTTGATGTCCTCGATTAGATTTGCGTCGTATTTGTCGTCAGCGTGGTCGAGCCAGTGCTCACGTTTTTCTTTGCTTTTGCATGATTTAACCACAGCGCGCTGTCGGTAAATACACAAAAATACTTTAATGATATTTAACCAGGCAAGGTGCCTTTAGAAAGGTATTAAGATCTTATTTCTTAAACTCATAACAGCCAGTGCATTATAAGGGACGCGATTTGTTTAGAATTGATATTTTCTGTTTTTTTTTATTTTTGGCTTTTCAATTAATGGAATGCTATCTAGTTTATGAAATGAAGCAACATTTTTATACGTTTTCCAACCATTTTCACTCCGCTTTTGATTGCAATTTTAAGCTAACGACGGAGGAAGACTCTGTAATATTTTTTTTATTACTATTAAAGTAAAATATTACTTATATCGATCTTGTTATGTTAAATGAAAGATGTATGATGCCTTTTAATTAAATATTTTCACATCGCATGAAAACAAAAGTGCTATAAAATAAAAACAACTATAGATATTGCATTACACCAATTGAATTTGGCAATTTTTCTATCTGGGAGTAAATTCGTGATAAGATCATCGGAAGTTACTAGACTGATTATATAAGAGTTTCGCTTTTTCCATAGCTTAAAAACTTACGAAGAAGAATTTACAGATTAAATCGTGTTGATAATGTTGCTGGTTGATGGATCAACTATTTACTAGAATCTATCTTGCAAGTGTTTAGCGAATGCAAAAAGCTCCAAACGGCCATGGCTCTCTCATTACATGAACCGGCTCCCGGTGAACGTCTCGCTGCTTAATATTCTCAAGGAACCAATAATTGAACCAAGAATTAAAATAGTTTCATTTAGTAACTGTAGTAATTAATAAGATAGTTACTTAATATGAAACAAAATACCTATAGCTTAACATGTTTAGAAATAAAATGGATAAACTATATGTATTTCAGAAACTATTATCTATATCCGCTCTTTTTTCGTAACTGTATTAGAGTAAACTGTATAAGAAACATTTTCTAATGTGTTTTATAGTCGCTATACTCAAGTGTTATACAGTCTCTAGCAGATATTCAAGCAACTTACAAGTTTACATTTAAAGTTACATTATAAACCATTACAATTGTGTAATTGAATTGATTAATAATCAGTTAAATTGATTCAGGTTAGTTGAATTGATTAATAAACAATAGAACTACTGATATTGACCGTGAATAATAACTACTTTATTATAACTATAAGGTTAATTTTAATGAATAATTTTTCAGACATAATAACTCGGTAACCTAAAGTAAGCGTTTGACTGCCAAACATTGATTTCAATATATAATTTAAGCTATTAATTGTGGAGAGAGGTTTAATAAGGATGTAAAAGTAATTACTTACACCAATACAGGCTGACACGTTGCCAAGAACGTTGCCCGTCGGATTCTTAATTATGTACAACCTCTTGCCCGCCACGAAGAATACTAGGATATATAAGTACATCAGATTTATCCTAAGTGATTTATCATAATAAAATACTATTTTTTATTTATATTACGTAAACATGTCCTAAATTTAAAGAATTCTTTTTAGATTATACGATTAAAAGCATAAAAAAATTACTATTCAGTTAATTATTTTTAGCACTTACGTATAGAAACAATCATGAGTAGGCCTGGTACACCGAAGGCAAGCGAATAGCAGTCGTTCTCTCCAAAGCAGTGTACATCTGCTCTTAGTATCGGCGTGAGAAATGTTGATATGAGACTACCAGCGTTGATAGCAAAGTAGAAAAGAGAGAAGAAGTAGCCCAGGTATCTCTCCTGTTCGGGCAGTTTAAATTGGTCTCCACCGAAAGCTGATACGCAAGGCTTTATGCCTCCAGTCCCAAATGCAATAAGGAGAAGCGCTACGATTGTAAATTCTCTGCAAGGAAAGTTAAGAATCTAAATTACCGTGACACATCGACTGTGATCTTAAACTGCGCGAAAAGCTTCGTAGAAAGAAAGCTGTTGTTAAACTGTCCGTTGATTTATTCCGAATAAGATCACAGAAATATCTAACAGATCACGTTTTGTATAATCGTCATTTGCAGCAGATAACCACTTACTGCCATCAAAATTTTCGCGTGGCGGAATGAAAATTTAACATTATTAGGTGCCGCATTGCTACGCATTGATTGCCGCTTTGAAAATTCGCAGGCAACGAATTACAATGCCATAAAATAATTGTTCACGGTGGTTACCTCTGACCGCATGAGCAATTATCTTGTTGATTGCGAAACACGTATACTTAATACGAGTAGCAGCCGCATTAACGTAGCCTTTGTTCGCTTCAACTGCCAGCACTCGGTCCAATCAATATTGCGTGGTAACGACAAATATAGATATAATGCAATTACTCACAACTGTGGCAAAGGCACTGGTGGCATCGCTGTTACGGATATCAGTATACTGCCCGTGGCGTAAACGAGTGACAGGTAAAATATTGTTCTGAAATATATACATTGATTTATTATTCCCGCACAAAGGTAAAATAACACCAACAAATTAAAAATAATTAAATGATTTTTACAACGCATACCACAGTCCATTTTCACAAATTCTGTCATCTCTCTCAACTTTTACAAGTCATTTTATAGGTACATAATTATATACTCATAAAAAACGTACAAATAAGTAAGAACACAACTCTATAACTTTTAAAGTAATTTTTTGCACTTTTCTCCCTTTTTTATGAAACTTAACTCTAGTCTAAATTCATTTACAGTCTTACCATAATCCTCTTCAGCCTGTTATAAATGGAATATACTTAATTGACCACTTTAAATACATAGTTATCCACTTCATAAAACGGATCATCAATTAAGTAAAAGCTTTAACTGTTAACTTTATTTCCACTTCTTATAAACGTTAAAACTGTCTCATGCACGGATGCATAGTCTTACAAATTAGAAATTACGGTGCAGTTTATAATAATACATATATAATATACAATAAACATTATATTAGACCAGAAAACTTAACAAGAATAAAATTAAGCAAATAATATATTAAAAATTTTGCTACACAGCAGTTCAGCAAAATTTTTTTGTTACAGTAGAGCTCCTTTGACTTACTCTAAATTAGACTACTCTCATTTAAATTGTACAGTTTCAATACCCTCATCATAACTCGTCACTAAAAATCGGTACATTAAGAAATCCCAGCTTCATGGAACTTCTTAAAGTACCTATATATTATAGATGGATACTAATCCATCATGAATCCATATATGAATTAAATAATTCATTTAAATCTTTAATGATAAATTTATCTTTCGACATAAGTACGTTAAACAGTTGTATGAAGTGATTAATATTTACTTTTTATTTCTTTTATACTCATTTTAGTTCAAGTGAGCGTTATTTAATTCAATACATTTCAAACATTTTCAAGGCGATAAATGTAGACATTTGCCGAGAGAACTTACCGCTGATCAGTGTCGGCTTGCTTTTAAGATAACTTCAATCAAAAATTTTATATTTTCTCAGTACCGAAAAACGATCATCTCTATAATTTCTGTTTGACATTTAAATCAAAATCATACTATAAACGGAACAAATTATAATGAAATGTAAATTAATGGTATAACGAGTGGTGCAACAGAAAGTTATTGATAATTTCAATGTCATGAGTTAAAATCAAAGGACGAATGTTCTTGTGAATGTTAAGCAACGCTACGCAAACGCAAATGCAATGTTAAAATCTTGCAATATCATGAACAATAGAACATCGCGTGCAATTAACGATCTGACCGTTTATTTATATTTCTTTGGTAACAATTCTAGGAGTTGTGTTGAATCTACTAAGGAAACGCATTCTATGTACATACGATGAATGAACATTCTTACCATTTAAATCAAACCAATAAGAAAAAACAATACACTTTTATTACTCTAACCATTAAGAATGGATCCGTCCGTCATCAAATAATCATTCCTATATTTACCTAAAGCGGCCCAGCCATCCATCAGCGATCATGGCACCCAGTATAGGAAAGAAGTAAGCAAACATTGTAAACACATGGTATATAACCGTTGCCCCGTTGTCTGAGTAGCCCAGCTTGTCACGTAGGTATAATGAAAGGATTGCTGCAACATAAAATAAACGTAATACTATTCTTATATAATTCGCCATACATAAAATATAATTGAGTGATAAGTGCTTACATTAGTTTAGTCTTATCATGAAACAATCGTGCTAATAACATGACGATTGATGCATTAAATGCTTATCGCCTTTAGGGTCAACCTATTTGTATACGAAAGAGCATCCGGTACTATTCGATGCTATTTTATTATATACCGAAATAATTGGCTTGTGACAAAGGTTACGCTTTCAGCTCGAAGCTGTATAAATATTCGTCGGTAGCAGAGCCCGTAGATAAACGAGTTTCTTCAGGTTACATGGGCCCTATGTTAGAGTCGCGCATTATATGCGTGTAAAAGGGCGACCATTGCAAGGGCCGTCGGAGTCAGTTGTGTACGGTAAGCGATGTAAGCGATGTATGGCGTGTTGGTCTTGCGAAGCGAACGACGAATTGCATCTCGTCTGCTGCATCTTAAAGAGTAGTGTTTTCGGTTGAACTCCTAGGGGTCTGCGATACTTTCGTTCCGTTTGCGGCATAAAAAAGAGCCCACCGGCGTAAGTAAACCGTTATAACAGATATGTACTGCGAATAAATACGGACATGACTCCACTTTTAAAATTGATGATGTCAATTAACATAAATTTTTAATATGTATATCAATTAAAAATGAAGTATGATTATGTATTGTTTCACCTAACAATACTCTATTAGAAAGGTTTAATACTGCAAAATTCACATTATAACTGTAAGTTATGCCTGTTATAAATAGAACGAACGAAGATTGAACTGTAATAATTCTCGTTATGTCCAATACCTAGTGATTTTAAAAAATATTCATATATCGATTTCTTGATTTTAGGCGAATGTTATACATATTAAATTAGCTTGATTACGGTTGTGATCGCGTTTTAAATTTGATTTTTAATTCCCGACGCGAAGATTCGAAACCTTTCCAGCGCTTATGATCGGGGGGCAAACTCATTCCTAATCAACTCTTCTTGAAAAATTGATTTTATTGAAATTTAATGCCAATTGATATGTCTATAGAAAGCAAATCTTTTATTTATGTAACTTGTTAAAAAAAACTTGAATATACGTTTAACTGTAATAAGTCATATTATTTATAGCAAATTGAATTAAATTAAATGGCTTGATAGTGAGCTCTATCTCAAACTCTAAATGACTTCGAAGGAATATAAACGGGGATAACAAATAAATATTTTGGGACACATTTTTACACAACGTTCTCTGGTCCCAAACTTAGCAACGCATAACACAGTAACTTTGGGCACTATATAACTGATAAACATACTTTTCTTTTCTAAGTAATTGCATATTATATATACATAAACACCCAAAAACTACCAAAACTCTTACTTTATCACACAAATATTAATTATCCATATAGTTATATATTACCAATTGTGTTTACATTTTTGACAAATTGTATTTACAATTTCCGTCTTACATTTTACATTACATCTTCACAGTTTTAGATATTATCGAGCGATTATTCAAGGATGATAGCTATTGCACGTGTTGTTCAACGCTGATAGATATAAATTTAAGTAAATGTTGACCGTAATATACTCAGAAGAACCACTTGTTATTAGTAATAAACAAGGACTCAAATCTCGAGATTACAAATGCAAGCTTTAGACATTTACTTGTATCAAACACAGCGTGATGTACAACGAAAAATCAATAAAAATGAACACATCGTGAAGATTATATCAAAATTAAAATTATTCTAATATGTTTAATTTTTATTTTATACAAGGTACTTTGTAATATATTCAAAAAAAGCTAATAACTAATGGGGTACTTTTCAGTCTAGTTTTAATAAAAAGTATAACTCACTTCGCATCCCATAGTAGGAAAATCTTTCGCAAAACTCATTTGTGACGATGAAACCAACAGCTTTCGGGTACGGTAGTTTCTGAAAAAGAAAAAATATTGTATGTCTAAATAATGTTAGAACAATAATACACGATCACCTGTCTTTGTTCTTTTTTAATACCAGCAAAAATGTTTGCCGTCCCGTAATGGTTAACGATGGTATGATATGGTATTAAATCAAATCAAATCATTTATTTATCGGAATAAGAAACATAAATTTCATCATAAAGATCTACGACCGTTTCGTAATGAGGTTCTTTTTGAGGATTTTTTAAAGAAATAGCTTGGAAGCGATTAACTCGACAAAAAAAAAAGAATTATGATTGTGCTAATATGACAAATTCCCCACTACATATTAAATTACACACTTCTCTGTTAATCTCTACAGGGGGACCGTCATTCGAATCCGAATTATCAAAAGTACAATTGAATGAAAAAACCAAATGATTAGCTCGACGACGCAACAGTATTCATAGTTTTTGCGCTACATACGCCAAGGTCAAAATATGTACGTTTGCCGTTTGACTAGGGTATAGATGCGCCCAAACCGTTTTACGGTAAAAGATTTTTCTGCAAAATACAAACGTAATATGAGTTGCCTACGTAAACAGATTAACAAATACTGTAGCAATTTCCGACACCATCTATTGTGAATAACATTCCTTCACCACTGAAATAATATCAACAAAATATTAACTCCTCATCAATTTTATATCGAATATCACTACATGGAATTAATTTAATACAATAATGTTTTACAAAAAACAGTCCTACTGCAGCAACGTTATGGGTCTTTGAATTTGAATTTTTTAAATATTTTCCTTGATTTTCCTTAATGATGACTCCTTGGTGCAGAGGCCAAGGTATTGGCTTCGGCATTAGGGGTCGTGGGTTCGATTGCCATACGGAACAAATAGTTGTGTGACTCATACATAGTTGTTTCGCATCTGGGTGTTTTTCCACGTGAAATTTATGTTTGTAGAACGTCCTTACAACACAGGATAAAGTTATCCTAAAGGAAGGGAAATGTTTCTTTAAAAAAAAGAAGATAAAATGTAAATGTTCCTATTTATTTATTCCAGAATATGGGGTTGATTCATATTGAATAAGAAACTGTACTGCTGTCTGCTCTATAACAATAATATTTATTATAACAATCGGAATAAATTTTCGATTCATCTCATTCTTTTTACTATCTACGTTTAATTTTTGTTAAAATATCCTGCTGTTTAGAGAAGCAGTCCACTTATTATTATGAGTGCTGCAAAGATATTAGACAGTTGGAAATTCAAAAAATAGACAAACACTTAAGTATGTGCGTTTGAATGCTGTTACGTTTTAGTTTTGTTTAAGTAGGTACAAAGATTTATTTAAATACCTTAAGTAAAACAGTTTTACTTACTCATGTGTAGCAAATTTATTTTTCCAACTAGGTGTCATAAAACTTTCTCTGAAGGAGAGAATCAATAATTTCGCGCAGCGGATTCTGTGGCGTAGTCAGTTTGGAACTTTTAACGCACGGTAAAATAAAATATTTTCTTTTTGAGATAAGTTCATTAATCTTTTTTTTTCGCGAATATCTTTCGCGATATTCTTCTAAAAATAAATTTATTTACTGGCAAGGTCAATCATTACTTTCAAAACGTACAAAAATGTTCGCTTAAATTATTAAGTTTAATAATTAGAAATTAAAATCCTCCAAAATAAAAACATTATTCCATTAGTTAATTACGCCATTTTAATTTCAGATCGATCGAAATTGAGCAAGTGGTTCGCCTGATAGGAAGTATGTATAAAGGTTTGTCGCCTATTGACACTTAACCAGAGATGGCCCGGTGTGTTCTCAGAGCTTTGGTGGCATAAAGAACCACGAAATTTGATGCAAACATGAGACAGAAATACTTCCCCGGTCGAGCTGCCCTATTCGTGCTGCAGAAGCAAAAGCCGTAAGCCGTTATTACTCCAATCAATAGCTAACTAATTAAAACTATTTGCACCTATTTTTCGGTTTATAGAATCAGTAACGACACCAGTTATAATACATCCTTTATTTGTTGTGGCGATTATCACAAGACACATTTTTTTAAATATTAGATTGAAAATAGGCTATAAGATTTCATCACATCATGATAATACAGCTTCGAGTCATGAAAATAGTCATAGATTACGGTGTTCTCGTTAATTTACTATTTTACACCTTCTGTCCCGTGACCATGAACGCTGTAAAGGGTTCGAAACGTCGGGAACTTAAATTAAAAATAAACGCGATAAAACCGTAAAATTAGTTTCATTTATTTTACACCTTGTTTAAAGAAAATCTAAAACATGAAGTTATATAATTTTTCTTTACAAATAAGGAATTTTTAAAACAATAAAGTAATAATTGTACCTTAACGGAAATGAAAATGCATATAAAAATTAAAATAATGCATAAAATAATTTTTGTACCAATTTCGAATGTTTAATTCGCAAATGATTTACCATGTAACACGCTAACTCATTCAAAGCCACTCCTGCCCAAACATTAACATACTTTGAAATCGCTCCTATTATTATAAAGAACTATACTCACAATTAATTAGCAACGTTCTCCATTAGTTTAAGATCTCCGAGGCCACCAAATGGATGTTGCCAATAGATTTCAATTGCCGCTGTTGAGAAGTTAGTGGAAAACGGTCCCTTATGCAACAAAGGATCTGATGTCATAAGATACGTAGGTATAAAACGCGTCGATAAATATGTAAGCCAGCGGACTGCGGTCCCAGTTAAATCAGTAGTAATAAAGAGAATAGATCAAAGATAATTGAATACACATCAATGATTTGGTTTTATTAGGGACAGTAAGTCTCGTGCCGAATTCATTCGTAAAATGCTGCACGCGTCGCGAGCTCTCAACTAGTATGAACTGGATACCCGTCTTTGTCGAAGCCGCGGACCAATGAACGTAATTGACGGATTCATACGAGACTTTAATAAAGGTAGCCGCATATTTTGCACTTATAATATTCGCAAGTACAATATTGTGTTAGTTTAAATTTACCTCCGATTGAAGCCCATTGAAATGTTAAGAACAGATGCGATGCTTATGAAATAAGATGGAACGCCTTTGAAATTATATAACAGGGGATAGCTGTGCTGATTTATGTAGGGGAAACAGCCGTTGTGGTTAGCATAATATCACGCTGAAATAGATGAATTTATTAGGATCCTTCCTTATTTTGTCTTACAAATCTGATTGAAATGATATACTAAAAAAATAAATAAACCTGATATTATCAAAAATTTAAAACCCAAATCCGCCCCGGGTCCAGACAATATTAGTAATAAAATCCTTAAAGCTCTCCCTGGGCCGCTTATCTTTTTACTTGCGGCCATTTACAACATTTTACTCTCCGAAGAAGCCACAGTTATCGGCATACGCAAGCCGAAAAACCAGCCAATCAGCCTTCTAGCTATCATCCCATCAGCCTCCTCAGTTGCCTGGAGAAGCTCTACGAGCGGCTTTTATTAAACAGGCTCAAAGAGCACGTATTTTCCAACGGCCTTCTGCCGGCGGAACAATTCGGCTTTCGAGATACATTTCTGTCCCGATCAGCTATACCCCCTGATGGAACATATCTTGAAAGGCCTTAATCACCAGAAACACATTAGCACGGGAGCTCTTTACTTGGATGTCGCATAGGCATTCGACAAAGTCTGGCACAACGGCTTAATTTACAAGTTGTTAGCACTCTAAGTACCAGACAGGCTCGTACACACCATTCGGGCCTTCCTGTCAAACTCTCCATAAGCCGCCGCCTCACGGCTGGCCTTCCATAAGGCTCCTGCCTCCTTTACTTTTTACGCTCTACACCTGCAATATACTAAAAGACCTCCACGTCAATCTCGCGCTTTTCGCGGTTGACACGGCCCTCTTTTACACCAATCAAAATCTTAATCGACTCACTACTCGTTTTCAAAGCGCCGCCGACCGCCTTGGCTATTAGTTCCGCAAATGGAGAATTGAAGTAAATCCCGAAAAGAGTGTGGCGATTTACTTCACACGAAGTACTTACCCGTCACATCTTTATAAAGTTCGTCGCCAATGCAGAAAGCTAGGGCAAATATCTCTTTATGGCCAACCGCACCCCTGGGAGAAAAAGGTCAAATATTTATGAGTCACTTTCGACACAACGCATATTAATAACGTCCGTAACAGAGCCGCGTTCGTCTCCGGCCGGCTAAGCACTTTAACTAACTAGTCAAGTAAAATGTCCTTAAGACACAAATTACTTTTATACAAAGCGCGCCAATCATGTGCTACGCATGCATGATTTTCGCCCACACGCACCCTACTCGCTTGCACAAGTTGCAAGTAGTGTAAAATAAGTTCAGACGCCGCGTAACCGGTACGCAGTGGTATCAACGCAACGTCGACCTACACAACGATTGCAGACTCCAGACCATTCGCGAATTTTTCAAAGACCTGACCAAACGGTTCTTCGATAGAGCCGAACATCATCCCAACCCACTGCTGGCAAGCGCAGCAAATTATCAACCCGATCCAAACGCGAGCGTCAACAAGCGTCGCCCGCGAAACGTCCTCGGTAAGGTACGTCGGACCCACCGTCGGGGGTCCCGCCGGGTAATAGGGTAGTTTGCCCTCGCCTGCGAGCACGGCGCGACCAACACAACGCGTACATAAGGTACACCCGCGTTCCAGGGCGGTTCTCACCGCCCCCAGCTACCGATTAGCTAGCTAAAAATACAGTCGACGGCCATCGGTGTCTCGGTCCGCACTACAACCTCGATGGCCCTTAGATGACATGCTGTAGTTAAACTCACGCATGAGCACATGCGTGGCCCTTCCCACAGCGGAGGGCCCAAACCCGTGGGTTAGTTTCAAAATTTCAACATTCCAACTATGATATTACGGTTCATGAGATACAGCCTTGTGATAAACGGACAAATAGCTAGCATCTGTCTTTTTGTTATAAGAAAACTTTTGTTGATTAGAAAAATTCTTGCACCGTTGGATAGCCCATTAACTTGTGAAAAAGT